GCTGCGTGGGCCAGCATCACTGCACAGCTGCCTGCTGCTATACCATCTACACTATCTATAGTCTCTGGAACAAAGTTAAGTCCCCAAATATGCATGGATAACCAGGAGCTGCAGTCTTATTTCCCTTCTTATCTGGTCTTACACCGCTGTCAAGTAGAGCGGAAACACGTCCCTAGAGTAAGTAGACTGCAGGAAGAGTCTGTCTCGCCGTGCAATACTGTGGTCGCACACGGCCAACTGACAGTCTGGATCATCACAATTATGCGCAGTGGTTGCTGTGGCCTCCACATTGTCCTCTGCAGGAGTTGACTGCCAACTTTAGGCCACAGTGGTGTGATAATAAGTGCACAACTTCGTCCAGCTCCAGTCAGAGTTACAGCGATCCAGCCAACCTCTATTTAAGATGGCACCAGCACTCCAAGTAGCATGACTGAGGGAGGGAACTGTAATCTCATCACCATTAAGCACGCTGCCTAAAATAAAAAGGCATTATTTCCCAGACCACAAAGCACGTACTTTACAGGGTGAATGATGTGGCTCAGACAGATAAGAATGTCTGGATTTCTGGTTATAAACTCATTGAATGAGTTCAAAGTAAGACCGACAGGCTGAAAATAATTCACAACAAAATAATGGAGGATTAAAATGATCAGACTGCATTGTCTGTACTGAGAATCTGGAGATTTCTAGTGCTGATTGGGGCTCAGCTGAATGTTTTAGTTGAAATAATTTTGCATTAAGAGTGATTCTGTTCTTGTACGTTACATTTAAATGGTGTTTAAAGCCGTCTAACATGATTGGTGGAATAAAACCCGTCCTAATCAGAATGCATTAGTTCCCGATGAAAGCTGCACTCCCTGAAGCAAATGGCAGGCTCGCAGACAAATCCTCCTCGATCCTACCTTAATGTCCTTTATGTTGAGAAATACGCGCAAGCAATCTATTCTGTGTCGGGCGAATGTTTGCCTGTGTGTGTGTGTGTCACAATGTGACGGTCGGGTGCTGGATGTGTTTGTGATTTGGCAGCAGGAGCGTTTACGGGGAGTAAAGGATGCAAATCAGCTGGAGGTAAAGCTCTCAACGTAGCAACAAGACTCACAGCCTGAGGTCAGCCGAGTGACATGCCAAGCTAAGGAGATTACAGCCTGCCACAGACCAACCAAGGACTCCCCTCGTCACTGGCCGAACAAACACACTGTCAACACAGAGTTAAGGCGGTGTGTTGTTGATGTCAGTCTGTTTGAGAATATCAAGTCTAAAGCTTTGAATACTGAAATGTGTATGTAAAATATCTATGCGGCAAGAGAGTCCTGAGATGGAACTCATACAGCAGTTCTGGGTCAGGTCAGGACATGTTTTTATGTTTCTGTATTTCATGATGGTGGACCACTGGATGGGTTGGTCTACTACGACTTTGATTGTGAAACACTAATTGTCAGTGTTCAGAAACAACAAGGTGATGGAGGACATGTCTGCCTTATCTGGCTCCTCTAGCAAGTGATGAGGTGAGAGGATGATGTAATCTAAAAGCAAACACTGCTGGGAAAATTGACAGTAATAGTCAGCCATTATTACTCAGACATCAGTATGTTTTCTGTGGCTTTTCCCTAAGAACAAAATCATGACTCTTCACAGAATACTTGGCAATTTTAAGCAGAATCATCTTTGTGGACTCTTCTTACAGAGGAGTCACAGTTCTACAGAACCACACAAATCATGATGAATCATATCACGCCAACAGTGGACAGAGCAACATATAGAGGAACAGAAACAGTCTGAGCCAATCCCATGTGCCAGAGTGTCAAACAATTGAACACAACAAGGCCAAGCTTTGGCTCTCGACCTACCAAATCCTTTCCCCCTCATCTACAAACGTTCCCACCCTACAAAAACTCTTAAGGTTCATTTTAAAGGGAGGCCACCAAAGCTGGCACGACCTGAGCCCCTCTGGTCCAGATAGTTTCAACAGCGGAGCTGATTGCGGCTGCACTTTAACACATCCTCACCATGTTGTTTTGGCACTTTAGTTAAGCATTGTTGAGCCTCATGCTAAAAGTGAAGTTTCTGCCTTCAGGCACAGCTCTCACATTTGTTTGGATCTGACACACAGCTCCTGTCTGCTCACTGGAGAGAAAAAGGCATTACAAGTAAACTTGTACTTCGATTAATAACATTACTTACATGGGCTCCATCCTACAACAAAATAAGTTCTCAGTGACAGATGACACATTGTGTCAAAATTTACTTTGTGATCTCAAACAAACATGACAGGAAATAACTGTAACACCATCTACTGACTCGTTCTGTTGTTTGTGTTTGTTTTGTAAGGATGGTATGTTGAGTAACAAACCACCCCACTTGACTAAAAAAGTGATTATGCCCAGCTCATCATGGGACCTGGTTGTTTTCCTATGGGGCCTCTGTGTACTCATACTTTCTTTCAGTATTGTAGATCTGGGAAGCCTCCAAAGCTCCTGCCAGAATACAAAATGCCAGATCGCCGCCTTGAAAAGAGCTCCAAGCAGAGGGACAAGCTGGTATCCAAGAAAAGAGAAACATCTTGTGCTGGGCCTAATTACTTCTGCTCCAAGATTACACAGTTTTGACCTTTCTCAAGCTTCCAGCGCAGAGCCTGATTGAAAATTAAGGAGGACAGCATTGATGTTCACAGCGCTGTTAATTACATTAAATGCAGAACACAGAAGGACACGACTGTAGCTCCACACCAACCGCTTCACCATGTTTACATGTAATCTATTAATTGAATTCATTGTACTCGTCTTTTACTTCATGTTTGAATTCATTTCCTCCTCATAGCCACCGCAATGGACTTAATTGGTTATAATCCAGTTAAAAAATTAAGGATTCTTTACCTAAAAACAAATAATATTTAAAGGAAATTGATATTAAGCCTGATAATTAGACTGGATTTCCAATTTTTAATAATCAGACTTTATTCACCAAGCACATGTGTACAAGGGATTTGTTTTGGTGCAGGTGCCAGAACAGCAAAGTGCAGAAATACAATATCAACAGAATACAAAATCAGTCAGCTGAGGAAGATAACAAGCGCTTCTAACGATAACGTACAAATACACAGAACCACTACAGAGTAAGTAAGGTTTGGTGTGATGGATCATATGTACATTGTGTCCAAAGAGACTGGTAATGTCAGATAAGTCCAATGCAATCAGTGGTTTAGATAAATAACCAATGAGAGAGTAAAGCAACTTTGTTTTTCAGTTCAGTTGTTACTATTGTAAGTACACATACAACCTGTATAGCTGCGCAGTCTCATCCACACTTGTCACTATTTCCATGGCCATTTTTTGAGCTCTGGCATAGAAAGATAATGTCCCAGTTCTTAATCCAGCTTACAAAAGCTCTGATTGGCTTGGTTGTTTTTCCAGCAGCTGTCAATCAGCACAACACCAGACCTACTTCAATCTCTGAAAAATCACAGATGCTGTCAGCTTTTGTAGTCTGTAACCAGGCTAGTAGATGTTGGGCTGTACAAAATGACCTAAAATCAAGAACTATAAATATAAATCTAACATAAATATAGTTTAACAATCTTTCCTTGGATAGTAATTAAATGTAACAGCAACTTAAGTGAGTGCATGGTATTTCCGTTCTTTAGTTCTAATATAAGTAATTCTCAGCCATCCATAGTGTTACAAAACAAATGTCATTCATCAATTTTGTCTCACTGTTTCTCCATCTGATGTCGTTTATAATTCAGCTGCAGTCTGCATATAAAACCTGCTCACCAATTCAGAGCAGTGAGGGCAAAATGAGCTTGGCAGTGTCAAAGATACAGTTTCAGAGGAGTGTAAGAGGTCAGTGTAATGAATAGTCAAAGGCTGAGGCCATCTCATTGATATGGTTGCAAGGAAGGACTCTGGATAATAGAGTTACAGAGTCTGGCATTTTAAAAATGTGGACATAAAGCAAAGATGAAAGTATAACGTTACACTCATAGTTATGGATCACCGAAACTCTACAACAAACAGATTATGTTAGTGTGACACTCAGTGTGGTCTGAGCTGCAATGGGAGAGTGTAAACCCTTCAAATCCACATTGCTGAGTGTTAACCATCAACACTTTGGTCTGTTTCTTATCAGAAAGTTCACCTCGCTGTCTGCCAAGAAAATTGGAAACCGAATGTTTTCATGTTACATAGAGTCAAGTCTGAATGTCTACATAGTAGACGCATAGTAGTAGGTAACAGCAGACTTGAGAAATGAGACAGACTACAGAAAAATTAGACTGGAATGTATTTCTTTGCATACTAGAGCAAAGAAGGAACGGGATTAGGAGCTTTGTTTCACAGTTATTGGATTTTGGCTCTGTGGGAACTGAATTATCCAAACACTGAGAGGAGAGCAAACACTGCACCATTCCTGTTAATGTGGAAAATATGAGTCAGTGTAAACACATATGATACAAGCTTAGGAAGAAAGCTCGAATCCTCAAAGTCACTGTCACAGAAAATATTCTTGATCAAAACTTTTTTTCGTTCTCACTTTACATCTGCTCGACTTCCTTACTCCAAAAAACCCCTTCACTGACACATACTTCTCTAATTTATCTAAAATCTAAAACACCAGTATGACACTTATCTCACCATTATCACTGTTGTATTTGTTGTTGTACTTCATATGAAATATTCCCAGAATTTAAATTGGTCATGTAACCATTACAGACAATTTTAAAGGCAGGTTTAACTCCCAGATGAGCTAGATAATGTGGGCATCAGGGTTTCATTTCTCAACACCCACTGCACCCCAAAGTACTCATGAGCAAAGCACTAAATCCCCAAATGATTCACGGGAGCTGCTCTGTGGTAGTGGAGGACTGAGGCTGAACTGTCTGGGCAGCACCCACGGGGCGAATGAGTACAACTGCCTGAATGTAGCGCAGGGTGATGATGGTTTTAAGAAAATGTCAGCCTCACCCTCGCTAATGAGCTGTCAAGAGTGTACGTGCTATAACTGACCTGTATCTCCTCGTAAGCCTCGTCGATAGTGGTTACTTGGTGCTGCTCGTGGAGCGCCGGCTCGTCGCAGAAGAAGCACACCAGACTTTTGTCAGTGAGGCAGAAGAGCTTCACCTTCTCGTGGTCCTTGCAGGGGTAGGAGCTCCTCTGAGCGTTGAGGATGGCGTCCAGCGGGAAGGCCGAGTAGCGCTCCACAATGTTGGACAACTTGAGACTCGGCGAGAGGAGAGGGTCAGTGAAGGTCCTCCGGCACTCGGGGCAGTCCCGTGTTCCGTGAGGCTCCTGCCTGCTCCAGTGCTCGGTGATGCACTTCCTGCAGAAGTAGTGCTCGCAGCCAAAGCTCACGGGGTCCTGGTAGATGCTGAGGCAGATGGAACAGAGTAGCTCGTCCTTCAGACAGCAAGCCATTTGCAAACACGGAGACTGAGCGGCATCTAAGAGGGCAATTCTCTGGAGCGGGGGTATACTTGGTTTAATCTTCAAGTGAGTGGTTTACTGTCACGCGGGGAGTCGACTGAGAAGAATCTTGGGATTTCACTTTAATTGTCTGTTGAAATATCACAAATAGCAACAGTAAGATGCCACAAATAGTTTATAATGCACCTAGCGTATGGACTAATACATTTATAACAGAGAAATCATTAACAGGAGCAGATTATTCTGGTTAAACATTAACAAAACTGACTTCAATGACAAGACCTTTTAACAGACAATTTCACGCTGAGAGATTTCAAAACTGTGTATGAAAATACAGGTTTAACAATTTAAAATCAATTAGTGGATCAACAGAAAATCAATCAGCAACCAATTAATTATAATAAAAACCATAAAAAATAAGAAATCATTCATATGTTCCAGCCTATCTAAAACTTGTTTTCTTCATCTTTACGACTATATATTACCTACATTTAGATTTTGGGACCATCAGTCAAACAAAACAACTAATTTTAAAATGCCACATTGGGCTGTGGTAAAATCTGATGGGTATTTTTTACAACTTTCTGAACATCTTAACCCAAAAATTAATTTCTTGAAAAAACAACCAACAGATGAATGAATAATGAGAGAATAGTAGGCTTAAGTCCCTTTTGAAAGCACTTAAACACAAAGAAGACATGAGCATTGTTGATCAAACCACCTTAATATGCAACATGTCCTCTATATGTTTCTCTTGTAACCTCTCACTTTCTTAACAATAGATTAAAACTCCATTTAAGTTCCATTTCCCTTTCACAAGAAATCCAATGCAATCTAGTTTCACTTTGTTAGCTTCCTCCTTCACCTGAGGAAACACCTGAATATGCTGCTGCTTTTATTAAAAAACAGACTTCCCTTCCACCTTGCCCTGCTGCATCCTCTTCCCCCTTTCCTTGTGGAGGATTTGTTGATTTCCACAGCTAACTGTCTGCACCAAGCAACAGGGAAACAGGGAAACACCTGCAGCGGTATTATCTCCGCGGCTGTCTTCCTCCTATCCCGGTGTGAAGAAGCTGCCTTTTAAATTCCCTTATGGGGGGAAAAAAAGGATTCAACTGCATGTATTTAGCTTCTTTTAATTCTTACTATCTACCACAAACTGTCGAGCCAACATCTGTGCTGCAGCTCAGCATAAAAGCTATTTAATTGGCTTCTTCCACCTTGCTTGTAAGCTGGATTTGTAAACATAACCCACCAGGACCACGACACCGCCAGCCACAGCGGGAGGATGAGAGAGAGAGAGAGAGAGGGGGTAGACACACACACATACAAAAAGGGGCAAAACACTCATTTAATAAGCTACATATTAAAAAGGTGGGTCCGAGGGAAGCACATGAGAGGTATAGGTATCTGAATATGACATTTTATAACCGAGGGAATGGATAGGAATAAAGATATAAAAGCTTGAACTCACCAGGCTCTCTGTGGCGACTTCAGCAGCTCCAGTGCGAGTGTCTATCAGGAAGGAGAGCAACACACAGCGGCAACAGACGCAACCAACTGCGCTGAACGATGGGGGGGTTATCAAACGTAATATTTACGACATAACTGCAGTTCGTCCATAAAGACGTTAAGAAAAGGAATAACAGTTAATTTAACTCTAATATGAGAATTTAAGTGACTTTAGGGAGTGAATAGGAAGCTTAAAAAACACATTGATTTAAAGTTTTGTCCCCGTCTAGAAATGGAGCGGCTCAGACTTCCTCTCCTCTCATTCTCCCGGTTAGCATCGCTGCTAAGCTACCTCGATTACAACAAACAAACACAGTGAAATACACCAACAGCGACCGGATCCGGATGAGAAAATGTCTGGCTTTAATCAGAGTAAGTGTCGGAACTGGTGTCAAAACGACCCGTAAGTGTTTAAACGTTTTATAACCCCGAGCGAGAGGGTCTTCCACAAGCTGCAGTGCCCGCCTTTAACCAGCAGGGGTCAGCAGCGTCCACAGAAAACACCATATTCTTCCCAATGCTGGTGGTGAGCAAGAATACTCCTGTACCATTGTAAGAATTATGTTATAAAATCTGTTTAATGAGCCCCTAACTTCATAGAAGTGCAGTACTAAATCACTGACAAGTACATCTTTTGTATGTCTTTAAAATAAGTCTACATGATATATGACACCAGTTTTATAATTTATAAAAGGTTTTCTATGTATCTTAACTACCATTATTGTTGTACATTTGCAACAAACAACAAATTTGACGTATTCCTGTTTTATTTCCATTTAATTAAATGAAATATTGTGCATTTTACTCCACTACTATTTAGAGTACATTGTGATTTTATTTAATTTAATAAATATACTCTGTATACCTAAAGCTGTTAAAATTAGCTCTGCAATGACCATCTACAACATTAAAATACTGCTTACGTAGTAATGCATCAGTAGTAATCAAATGCAATCATAACAATGTAACACTGACTAGCTTCCCTAATGAGTACTATTGTACTGTATTTATATATCTTATTTGGATAAAAGATCAAAATACTTTCCTGCCAACACTGACTAGAGATGTGCTGATCCGATACTAAGTATGTGTATCGATCCAATACTGGCCAAAATCACTGGATTGGATGAAAAAAGTGTAATCCAATACGATGCTTGAGCCTAAACTATTCCATAAAGGTATTTTTTCCTTCATTGAAGTTGAATATTTGTTTCACAGTTTGAGCATTATGGTTTTAGATAGCTAGGTCAAGCAAAGTGCATCCATGCAAATGTATTACTAACAACTTAGTTGTTTATAAGAGACGGTATGGATCGGTATCAGCAGATACTCAAGGTTGCGGTATCAAGCCATCCCTACCACTGACAACAATATACAACACATATAAGTATTAAGTAGGAAATCTTAACAAATTAAATCATAATTCTGTTACACAAAATACACATTGTATTAATTATACACAACTTTCCACAAATTGTAAATTTTACAACATGTATAGGATATGTTTTTATATGGGATCAGTTGGCTGTAATTTAATACTCTTACAATACTAGTCTCTACAATATGAAAACTGACTGCAGACTGCATCATAATTTATATCCCTTTTTTATGTGCAGCTGCTTGTACTTGCTCTGCACCACTGGAAGAAAGACAATATTCACATCTTTATTTACAGCATATCATATATACATATAAACACACAAACAAGTGCATCTTGGAGCCAGTCACATTGTTTTCAATGGTGTATGAATGAAAAACAAATCATCAGTCTGTCATGCCGATGACTCCTCATGCGCTGCAACTTGTACTCTCCTGCACTGACGTCAGTGATCGTTTCCCATCTTCTTGCTGTGGGATGCTAAACGACTTCTCTTCCTCTCCAAAGGGCAGTTTTGAGTCTACTTGCATCAAGTCTGTGGACATGATCGACGGCGTCCCGCCTATGTTGAAAGTGATGTTGACGTTGACGTGAGGGCTGGTGGTCATGGGGCTGATGATCTGTGGGCTGGTGGGCTGCGAGGAAGACTGTGTGGGGAGGCTGGTCTGGGGAGTAAGAGGCTCTATGTTGGAGTGTAAAGACATGGGCTCCGACATAAGAGAAAGTGGATTGTTAGGAGCTATTGTTGTCTGCAGAGGGCAGGTGGAGTCGTAGATGGTGTCACCATCTGTTCTGGTTAAAGGTTCAGTATTGTTGCTACTACAGGATTCTGATTTCAGCAGAAGCTGTTGTTCTGGTGAGCTTACTTTAAATGAAGTCAGCTGGGTTTCCCCCAAAAAACCCTGATTGACCTGCAATTAAAAGACATGGAAAGATGAATTCTCTGCATTCTGTACAGCCACAACTGTATTCAAAGGTATTCAAGAAGAAATGTGAAGAAAGACTCACTTCATCCCCGGTCTCACAATTTCCATTTGCATCTACTTTAGGATGAAGTTTTGCAGCGTCTGTGCAAAAAAAGACTGAACATGCAGTGATGGTGGTAAAAATGTGAGACAAACAGTTCCTGATAAACATGTTGAAAAATAATGGTCATTATCATTCTTTATTTCAAGTTGAAGATGAATATAGTGTAGTTACACACATAGTGTTTCCATAAAACAAACAGCATACAGTTACCTTTCTTCCAGACTGGTTTACAGCATAACGCCAGAATGATGATGATGAAAAGAAGTAGGCCTATTAATCCAGTGACAATGGCGATGACAGCTAACAGCGAGGTAAACACACAGACAGAAAGAGAGAGAGATGTTTAAACACTTATTAGATCACAGTTCTCTCATAATGACTGCTTAGAAAACACCAAATCAGTTACCATACCCAGTTTACTGTCACTTACTGGTTTCTGGGCTTGGTGGTGGGCTTGTTGTTGAGTGGCTGAATATATCTGAATCAGATGGAGTCTGTGTGGAGTCTGTCACTTCATGTAGAGCCCTGGAGTCTGAGGTCACTGACACTGTGCCGTTCGTTGTACTTGCAGTTGTGAACACAATCGCAGTGTGAGGATCTTTTGTTAAGGTTTGGGGCCGTGAGCTGGATGCAATAGCCTCAGGTCCACACACGGTGTCTGAGGTAGCGTCAGCTTTTCTAACAATAACCCTTCCATGACAGCTGAGAAACAGAGAGAGAGAGAGAGAGAGAGAGAGAGAGGGGTCAAAGATCTGAGCTCCCAAAACAGCTGTATACAGATGGTATCATCTGTCACTCACTTTGTATGAGGATGGCAGCGGTCCGTGTAGGAGATTGTATCAGAGAACGTCCCATTGGGACACGGTTCACACTTCACATCGGAATCAGCGGTCCCTGAGAACAACACCCAAAATATCAGACATCACATTTCATTTTAACTGTATGATTCACTTTGGATTAAACTAATAGTCACATTTGACAACATGTGCGGTTGATATAGACCCAAAATACACTATTACGATGGATATGATGCAGTTAGTTTGATTACATAGTTATTACTATATATAAAAACAATGGTGAAGATTGAGAGTCAGTGGGTAAGCGATTGGGAACTGAACAATTATACTCAAGTCCCAACTCTTCCAGCTGTAATTCTGTTGCTGACACATGCAATTGGCGATGATATATATGAGACCCGCACGAAAAAATTTGATGGCTCATGTATCAAAGGGTTTATCCCTACATTTTAAAATAAAATATGTTTGGATTACATGTATGGTAAACATATAAACGGTGACTATTAAAAAGTAGCAGGTGCTGTACCTTGCACGGACACTCCATAACCACGGTTGCATGGCTTGTACTTTCTACATTCATCACAGTACGGGTCATCAAATCCGACAATGCAAAACATCCCAGGCTTGCACCCACACTTGGACTTTGTGGTAGAGGTGCAGTTCTGGAGGTTCTGTAAACCTTTAACTTATAGAGACAGTTATGTGTTAAAAAAATAAAAGCAGGAATAAAGAATAAAAGCAATTAATTAAATTTTTTTTTTTTTTTTTTTTTACTGAGATGTACAGAGCTGCTACTGACCTGGTTTGCATTTCTTACAAGAGAAGCAGTTTTTATAGTAGTTCGAGCTCTCCATGTAAGTGCCTTCAGGACATTGTTCACACACAGTCTCAGTAGTTTCGGAGCATTCTTGTTTCCGGTGCTGTCCTGTTGTAACATATACATGAATGAATCCTCATCACCGCCACGTGTTAGTCACTTGAAATGCATTTTATAATAGCACATGGGCATTGTAACAAACAGACAAAAACTTTAAAAGATCAATTTCAGATATATATATATTTTGTACAACACAGTAAGATACTGTTGCTATGCAACTTAGTACACACCTTTTACGATTATAAGGCATTTAAATAAACACTTGCTGCTACCCCTCGCTCACTGCATAGTAAAGAAGTGGGATGCAAAACAATTAAGTCTGTCCTGAGTGGGAGAGTCCAGGTTAGCGGGCACGAGATCAAATTATTGCTTGAGCACATCAGCAGTTTTTATAGCCGGAATCTTTACAGGAAGAGTGGGAAGATGTGGGGAGGACTGATAAGATGAAAAAACAATTCACACTGAAAACATGTCCGAACTAATGTGGATATATTTA